TACCTTAGTTCCCCAACATTGTAATATTAGTCCTTATTGTAGTAAACACTTGTGTTTACTTGAAATATAGGACCCATTTACATCTTTAACATTCACCAATTCCAATTCATTGTAATGAGATCCTCACAAGCATAAATAAGGAATTACAATATAGTATTGATCAGGGCTGCCATGACATGGTGAACCATATGCATAAACATGTAAATTGGCACATAAATCTTGTAATTGATTAGATTTAGGATTTAGTTTATAACGTTATGATACCTTAGTTCCCCAACATTGTAATATTAGTCCTTATTGTAGTAAACACTTGTGTTTACTTGAAATATAGGACCCATTTACATCTTTAACATTCACCAATTCCAATTCATTGTAATGAGATCCTCACAAGCATAAATAAGGAATTACAATATAGTATTGATCAGGGCTGCCATGACATGGTGAACCATATGCATAAACATGTAAATTGGCACATAAATCTTGTAATTGATTAGATTTAGGATTTAGTTTATAACGTTATGATACCTTAGTTCCCCAACGTTGTAATATTAGTCCTTATTGCAGTAAACACTTGTGTTTACTTGAAATAGGACCCCATTTACATCTTTAACGTTCACTAATTCCAATTCATCATAATGAGATCCTCACAAGCATAAATAGGGAAATACAATATAGTATTGATTAGGGCTGCCATGATATGGTAAACCATATGCATAAACATGTAAATTGGCACATAAATCTTGTAATTTATTAGATTTAGGATTTCGTTTATAATGTTATGATACCTTAGTTCCCCAACATTGTAATATTAGTCCTTATTGTAGTAAACACTTGTGTTTACTTGAAATAGGACCTTATTTACATCTTTAACGTTCACCAATTCCAATTCATCGTAATGAGATCCTCACAAGCGTAAATAGGGAATTACAATATATTATTGATTAGGGCTTCCATGACATGGTAAACCGTATGCATAAACATGTAAATTGGCACATAAATCTTGTAATTTATTAGATTTAGGATCTAGTTTACAACATTATGGTACCTTAGTTCCCCAACATTGTAATATTAGTCCTTATTGTAGTAAATACTTGTGTTTACTTGAAATAGGACCCCATTTACATCTTTAACGTTCACCAATTCCAATTCATTGTAATGAGATCCTCACAAGCATAAATAAGGAATTACAATATAGTATTGATCAGGGCTGCCATGACATGGTGAACCATATGCATAAACATGTAAATTGGCACATAAATCTTGTAATTGATTAGATTTAGGATTTAGTTTATAACGTTATGATACCTTAGTTCCCCAACATTGTAATATTAGTCCTTATTGTAGTAAACACTTGTGTTTACTTGAAATAGGACCTTATTTACATCTTTAACGTTCACTGTTGTGTAGATTCAGCTGCACCAAAATGGATTAAGCTGCATCCTCAACTTGTGATACTCACAAGTGCACGAGCCGTTCGGTGGTATAGCGTATGTAAGTGCGAGGTCGATCCCACGAGGATTGGTGATTGAATGATTCAATTCATTTTCCCTACACAAAACAGAAATGAAAAAGAAGGGAAATAAATAAAACAAGGAAGAAAGAAATAACTAACTCAAGCAGATAAGTTCCCAAGTTCAATTAGATTAACGGATTGATTCTAGCTAATGTATGATTAAGCCATGGTGTGTGGTCATAACCTTGTGTTCCTAATTCCCTAATTTGATCATTTGTTGTCTAACCTAAAATTAAGCATTAGGAACTGTTGCGTAGATTTAGCTCCACCAAAATGGATTAAGCTGCATCCTCAACTTGTGATACTCGCAAGTGCACGAGCCGTTCGGTAGTATAGCGTATGTAAGTGCGAGGTCGATCCCACGAGGATTGGTGATTGAATGATCCAATTTAGTTTCCCTACACAAAATAGAAACAAAAACAAAGAACATAAAACAAGGAAGAAAGAAATAAGTAACTCAAGCAAATAAGTTCCCAAGTTCAATTTAGATTAATGGATTGATTCTAGCTAAAGTATGATTAAGCCATGGTGATTGGTCATAACCTTGTGTTCCTAATTCCCCAATTTGATCATTTGTTGTCTAACCTAAAATTAAGCATTAGGAACCCATTAAGCATAGAAGAACAATTTAAACAAC